GAGTCTGCTCCCTTTCATGGTCGTTTCCCTTGAGCCGCAGGTCCAGAGGTACCCGGACTTCCAGTACCTGCTGACCCGCATGCTGAAGGTGGCCTTTCTCCTGGACACCGTGAGTGCCGGGCCCAGCAGCAGCCGGACGGCCCTGTGGCCGCGGGGACCCCTCTCCTGAGCCCCCGTTCTCTTTCAGTTCTTCCGGCCCCTGAACGTCCGGGTGGCGCTGGTGGGCCTGGAGGCCTGGAGCCAGCGTGACCTGGTGGAGATCAGCCGGGACCCCGGCCTCACGCTACACAACTTCCTGCGCTGGCGGCGGGAAGACTTACTGCCTCGACTGCCCCACGACAGCGCCCAGCTCGTGACGTAAGACCCCAGGCGGCGCCCCAGCTCCCTGCCTGCGGCCCTGAAGCTCTGAGCTGACCTGTGGCCCTGCGATCCCACAGTGCCACCTCGTTCTCCGGGCCCGCGGTGGGCATGGCCGTTCAGAATTCCATCTGCTCTCCTGACTTCTCGGGGGGTGTGAACATGGTGAGCGATGCCGGGGCCCCGCGCACGTCGCTTCCTCCACGTGCCCCGCCCCAACCCCACCGAGTTACCTACCCCAAAGCCGCGGATGTGGGGACGGGGGTTGGGGGGGGGGAGGACGGCGGGTAGGACGTGGCCCCTGCTGTCACGGCATCGTTACGTGGGGGCTTCACCTGTGAGGGCACCTCGCGGGGGAGGAGGGGGTGGCTGAGGCCCACAGAGCAGAGGCGAGTGCCCAGGGCCACACGTAAGGGACAGGAACAGAGCTGAGCGAGCTCTAAGCCTTCCCACCACCCGGGCCCGGGCTCTCCTCCTACTCTAGAAGCAGTGAAGGAGGGAGGCTGAGCGCCCAAGAGGTCAGATGAGGAGAGAACAAGAGAGTCAGGCTGGTGCTGGACCTGGGGTGTCCCCTCCCCAATGCCAGGACCACTCCACCAGCGTCCTGGGGGTTGCGTCCTCCATAGCTCACGAGCTGGGCCACAGCCTGGGCCTGGACCACGACTTGCCAGGGAACAGCTGCCCCTGCCCGGGCCCGGCCCCGGCCAAGAGCTGCATCATGGAGGCCTCCACAGAGTGAGTGGCTGCAGGACGCACAGCGGGCAGGGGCAGGGGCAGGGGGTGGCTGCAGCCCCAACCTCTCCCCCACCGTCCCCAGCTTCCTGCCAGGCCTCAACTTCAGCAACTGCAGCCGGCGGGCCCTGGAGGAGGCTCTCCTGGAGGGGATGGGCAGCTGCCTCTTCGAACGGCGGCCCGGCCTGCCCTCTATGGCCGCGGTCTGCGGAAATATGTTGGTGGAGCCGGGCGAGCAGTGTGACTGTGGCTTCCCGGACGTGAGCCCCTCGCCCGAAGCCCTGCCCCACTCACTCCTGTGCCCTGGCCCTGGCTCACTACCCTGCTCCGAGCCTCCAGAGCCCCTTCGTGGGCTCTCAAGGGCCGGCCCGCTCCTCTCCGCCCCTCCCCGCCGGCAGGGACACCACGCGGATGGTTGGGCTCTGGCCTTTACTTGCCGCTGCGTCCTTCTGATGGCTGCCCTGGGCGGAGGGGAGGAGGTAGGCTCTCGGGCCCAGCCCGCCCTGACGCAGCCCCCTCCCCGCCCCCCCATGCCCCCAGGAATGCACCGACCCCTGTTGCGATGACTTCACCTGCCAGCTGAGGCCTGGGGCGCAGTGCGCGTCCGGCGGGCTCTGTTGTCAGGATTGCCAGGTGGGCACAGACTGGACCGGCCGCCACAGATCACCCGCCCGGGGCCACGGTGGGAAGGGTCCTGTGACCCCCCAGGGCCGGGCTGGACCTGCCCGGCACCCCTTCTGACCCTCCCCCACCCCCCTAGCTGCGCCCAGCCAGCTGGCAGTGCCGCCCCGCCAGAGGGGACTGTGACCTCGCGGAGTTCTGCTCGGGAGACAGCCCCCAGTGCCCTCCTGACGTCAGCCTGGGGGACGGCGAGCCGTGCGCGGGGGGCCAGGCTGTGTGCGTGCAGGGGCGCTGCGCTTCCTATGCCCAGCAGTGCCAGGCTCTCTGGGGACCCGGGGCCCAGCCCGCCGCACCGCGCTGCCTCCTTACCGCCAATACGAGAGGCGATGCCTTCGGGAGCTGTGGACGCAGCCCTGATGGCAGCTACGTGTCCTGTGCCCCTAAGTAAGTGACGAAACCTGGATTCTCCTCTGGGTTTGTGGGGGCCTCGCCTGACCCCGCACCTCCTCCCTCACCTCAGAGACGCCATGTGCGGGCAGCTCCAGTGCCAGGGGGGTCGGGCCCGGCCGCTGCGGGGCTCAGCCCGGGATCTGCACTGGGAGATACTAGAGGCCAACGGGACCCAGCCGGAGCTGAACTGCAGCTGGGTCCACCTGGACCTGGGCAATGACGTGGCCCAGCCCCTCCTGACTCTGCCCGGCACAGCCTGTGGTCCTGACCTGGTGAGCAGTCCCAAGGGGGCAAGACCAGGAGGGGAGGGGTGTCTGGACCACGGCGAGCAGTGCCCGGGCCTCGCTGTCCACCGTGTAAAAGGCACAGACTCTGAGGGGGGGTTCAGATCCTCTCTTTGGCCCGAGCGAAGTCCTGTCCTCCCGTGGGCCTCGGTTTCTCCATCCGCCATTCAGCCGTGCTGGCCTCCCAGGGCCAGGGAAGCTTCGTGAGAACCTGATCTTTGTTCTTCCTCCCCTGGGCAGGTGTGCATTGACCGTCAATGTCAGCCCGTGGGTCTCCTGAGAGCGCAGGAATGTCGAAGCAAGTGCCATGGGCACGGGGTGAGCTGGCCTGGGGGAGACGGGGGGGGCGGGGTGGGGAGCAGGCAGCCTCCGGGGATGAGAACGGTGACAGGCTGGGAAACACACACACCTAGCTTCCGACCCCTGCTCTGCTGCCGCCTAGCTGTGTGACTTCAGGCAGATTATTAACCTCTCTGAGCTCAGCCTCCTCGACTATCCAGTGGGTGGAATAATAGTACCCAGTTCCTGGTGCGTGAGACGACATGGGAGTTTCCGGTACAGTGCCCGGCACGGAGAAGGCGCTCGCGGGGCTAGTTTGGTTTCACCTGGTCTGCCGTGGATAAACTGTCCCTCTCTCCATCCCATCACCCCGGCACACCTCCCGGTTGTGCACTTAGGAGCTCCTGAAAAGCTGGGACAGGGGAACGGGCCCCTCGTTACTCAGCCTGTACCCCTAGGTCTGCGACAGCAAAGGACACTGCCGCTGCGAGGAGGGCTGGGCGCCGCCGGACTGCGCCAACCGCAGCAGAGGTGGGGGGGAGGGGGAGGGGAGAGGGGAGAGGGCACAGTGGCTTCCTTACCCCCCCC